TCTCTTGAAATAAGACAAAACTAACTTATAAGTTACTTTTCAACAAGATATAGAAGCTTATTTTAAGTGAATAATTCCTTAATATGGATTAAAAATCATTACTTCCATTGGCAGATTAGTTCACTAATAATAACATGACGTTTTTCCAAGTTTGTAAAATGTTTACACTAGAAAATAGACCAATACTTCATAAAATGTTGGGTTTTTGCATTGTGGTTTATTATAATTGCTCATTTGTGTCACTATTGATCATTTCTTGTGATTAACTGTAAATGATATGTGTATTGTCCAGAATGCAGATGAAAATGAGCCTTTTTGGCCAAATGAGTCATATTTACATGGTTGTTTTAATGAACTCATGTTATTTAATAAGTACTGTTCATTAAAATAACCTAAAAAAAGAATAAGTAAATACCTGCAGATGAGTATGAAGTCCTGCAGAACCTTTGGGTTAAAAGCTTCCAAATCTTTGAAAATGATCACAACAGGAGGCTGCTGCTGTTCATCAACAGCGGAGGACTTGCGCTTCTGTCCAGAAGAACTGCAGCTGGACTTCTGTCAACAAACATCCATAATGAGTAAATTCATTATCACCCACTAAAACCATGTATGATCAATACGCTTCATGGCCTTGCCTTCGTTTTTGAGCTGTACCAATCACAGAGAGCTCTGAGAGAGCAGTGAACGCTCTTACGGAGCAGAGCACCGCTATGCTGGACCTCCTCCTCCTCTTCTTCTTCATCGTCCACGACAGCATCCATCAGTCTCTCAAGGACTCTTTTCATCAGATGCTTCAAAGCTGAAATTATCAAAAAGAAAAAAACTTAAAGTAAGGCTGGAGGATAAATCTATTATATTAATTACATGAATTAAATCTTTGGAAATAGAGATTTGTTTTTCCCCACAATGCTCTCTTTGGGTTTCCTTAGTTCAGATGATGCCAACACACACAGAGCGGCCATCTTGTTTGACCAGCGTGTTTTACAGCTTCTGTTTATTAGGACTTTGGATCCTAGTCAACTGTACGCCTGCATGTAAAGGTCCAGCTGAGATTGTTGTTGTTGTTGTTATTGTCACAAAAAATCTTGATTTTGTAAAGTAAAAAAAAGTTTTGTAAAATTATATTGTAACATTAATTCCTGAACTTGTTACAAGAATATTATTCTGACATTCAAAGAAAGTTATTTTGTAATATTACAAACCCATAACATTATCAGAACAAAGTCAAAATAATTTTAGGATATGAGCTTAATATTAGCGGAATAAAGTAGTTATTTAATGGAAACTCCAACACAAAAAGCTTTTCCTCATAATTTTAAAGGCATTTTTCTGGACAAATTATGTCTTTTTTCAGCTAATTTTGTGATAATATGCTTCTAATTGAGCAAAAGCGATCAGATCCTGGCTCTAATCTTCTGTTGTTCGACTCACACAATGGATACGCAAAATAAAAGTATCTTATTGAAACATATTTCTTGTCATTTCTAATAAATTTTTTAGTGAACGAAAACAACAACAACAAAAAAAGACAAACAAAAAATTGCTTCCTATCAGAAATTGTGAAATCGCGTGAAAGTCTTAAACGTGCTGTGAACTCCAAACCAACCCGACTGCCTGGCAGTTTTTACCTCCACATTCTTTGGCCTGTAAAGACGCAACGTGAGGCGTGACAGAACAACGCAGCAGCTCCAACAAACTCTGGAACGTCATGTCGTGATCGGGAACGTTCACGCCTTCAGACAGAACATCACAGACATTAGAAGTAACAGTGCTTTCATCAGAAACGATTCCCCGGTTGTTGCTGGCATACCCAGGACTAGCGCGGCCGTGGGGATCTCACTGGCCCGCATCCGGGAAGCCCAGTCACCATGATGACGGGTGGAGGAGCACTTCCTGGTAAACTCCAGCAAGCTGTCCAAAATGTTTCTGTTGAGCTCGTCCTGCAGATCCTGTTTAAAACATTTCATACAACCTTCTGGGAACAACGTTGTGACAGAAAATGTCCAGCTGGAAGGTGATTCTTTAAGTTTGTGGAGCATTTTGTTTATATATTTTAAAGTTTGTACAATTATGTCTGTTTGTTTTACATTTTTACTTTCCAACAGACTTTATGATTAAAAATTTCAAAGATGAGCAGCTAAAGTAAATGAGAAGAATTAGCAGTGTAGCCGACGACTGATTTATGTCTCTGCTGTCCAGAAATTGAGCTGTTAGCATGTTTATTTGTTCATTTAATTAATTTTTCAGTTTAATTTATGTGATGACAGTCAGGAAACCATCATCCAGCAACAGTGTTCAGTCAGAGGCCTCTTCAGATGTGCTTCATGACTGCTACAGGAGAATACATCAGTTTTTCTTCATGCTTCCATCTTTGAATACAAGATTACAGAGAGTACAACTAATGCTTGTCCCGACCAGATTTGGGTAATAACTAGTTACATGTGCTTTATAAAACAAAAAAATACAAGCACTTTCAGGTGTATTTCTAATTTGACTTGAATAATTTTATTATGAAGTATCGCTATTTTTCCTTGAGTAAAATGTCTGGATAATCTACACACTATGAGTAAAGTCACTGAACAAAGAACAAGATTGACATTGGGAAACATTGGGTTGGGAAAAATGTTTATTTTGTCTGTGTTTTTTATATGAGTCTTTCAATGCATTATTTCCACATAAATGTGTATTTTGGATTTTTCACATATTAAATGATCTTTTGATCAGTTACTCAGTACCTGACTAGTCTTGTCTAATTTTGCTTAACTAATTTTTTTTACTTTTACTTGAGCAAAAATGTTTAAAAAATGTAATGCTCCACTTAGTTAAATAATTTTTTGTGAACTGTTGATAATAAACTGGAATTTATTTAGGAATGTCCATAAATAAACTTACTATAAATGTGTGTTACTCTTCAGATTTTTATTTGTGAATATTGTTTCACTTGAAAATGAGATGTCATTTATTCATATGTTGAAATAATGTATTATTTTGTGATGAAATAATGTCTTATTTTGTGATAAAATAATGTCTTATTTTGTGACAAAATAATGTCTTATTTTGTGACAAAATAATGTCTTGTTTTGTGATAAAATAACGTCTTGTTTTGTGATAAAATAACGTATTATTTTGTGATAAAATAACGTATTATTTTGTGATAAAATAACGTATTATTTTGTGATAAAATAACGTATTATTTTGTGATAAAATAACGTATTATTTTGTGATAAAATAACGTATTATTTTGTGATAAAATAACATATTATTTTGTGATGAAACCTGCTCTTACCTCCGTTTCTGTTTTGATTTTGTTCCACAGATCCAAACAAAGTTTGAAGCGCGTTTTGCTGCTCGCAGCACCTTCACAGCCGTCGGTGAAATAACTCTCTGTCCAGAAATTATTCAACATTTCAACACAAAAAAATCCCAAAACAAAACAAAGTAACAGCTCAGCTGACGAGTCTCACCAAGATCAACAGGCGTCTCCTTCTCCTTCTTCTTCTTCTTCGCACTGGGTTTAAAAACGAAGCAACCCTTAATGGCGGACATAAAAGTTAGTTTGTGACAAATATTTATCAACTAACGTCTCATTTAATGTGATAAAAGTCATTACCCTTGAGAAAGAAGACGTCGCCATTGCTGAGTAATGCAGCAGCAAAAGAACAGCCTCTGGTTGATAGCAGTTTACACCATTTCATACGTTTTTAAATCTCCGGTAGAATTCCGTGTGAGGTTTCATTGTTTTCCCGCCGATGTGACGTAAACGGAAGAGGTTGGAGTTTTTAGTGAGGCGTGGTTTGCATAACTTGAAGAAAAGTGTTTTTTTTTGAGTTTCCCAATAATTTAGTAGAATGGGCCTGCTCCTCCCTTTATTGTAAGTTTACAGATTCAGAAAATATCAACTGTTGGAAAATGGGGCAGAAAATGGAGAGAATAATAACCATAAACGGAAGCGTAAAAGAGAAATAAGCGACGTGTCATCTTGCCACTCGCAAGATGACGTGGGCCGCCATCTTGCGAGTGGCAAGTTCTCCAACGTTAATAAATTATGTTCTAAATGAAGTAATATTTTTACTTGATTTATTTCGATTCATCTTTATAACTGACAATACTGAGTTGGATTTTTTCAGTAGAATATGCTATTTTTAATTACAATATTACTTTTCTTACATTGCTAATTTGCACTTACTTTACAGTCTCATTCTTTTTTTCTGTTTTTATATTTTCTACTCAAGTTTGAATATATATTATTTGGTTAGGGTCACCTAGATTTCCCTCTTCAAGTACAATAAGGCATATCTCTATTATATTATTTATATAATACATATAAATAATAGAATTTATATTCTATTATATAAACCATTCTGGTTATTAAATTCGTGTTTTCTTTTCTGTTTTTTCCACTTCTATCCATTAATTAAGCCTAATAATTTTATTTAAAACAACCTTGTGCTGCCAAGTCTAATATGGTGGCAATTATGACATTGCCAGCATTGCAAGAAACAGAAATCATATAATAGGTGAAGTTTATCATTTTCCCATAAAGGTATCATAAACAATAAAGTCACAGTAGTTTGAATGGTTTTGGATCATTTAAATTGAATCATAATTTTTTTTTTCCAATTTAATCACTAACAATTTAACATTCTTGTTTAATGTTCCCTTTTACTTTTCCGTTAGATTGTTTTTTTATTTGTTCATTATTTCCTGCCTCTAAATTTATTTTCCTAAAATTATTTACTTTTGCATTATTGTCACAAATGAATAATGTTTAGCATGCCTGGATTACTGCAATGGATGCATTGGATTATGGTACATCATACCCATTTTACTTTCAGAATGACTCAAAACCAGTCAAAACACCACTATTTAGCAAACCTCTAGAAATTAAATTGTAATAATAACTTCGCCATTTTCTTGTGCTTGTAGATTGAAAATACTCGTACTAACCAGTGTATTGAAATAAGAAAGAAAAAATATCAGATTTTCAGACAGAATTTTACAAAAAGAACCAGTAACATTTTATTGAACACTTTGTGGAAGACATGTAAATATTACAGATAGGTCTACTAGTGTTGAAAAAGGATGAAATAAATACAAACAGAACTTGAAATCCCATAGGGATATATTAAAAACATAGTTTTCTTTAAAAGTGTCCATTTAGCAAAAAAAAAAAAAAAAAACATCTTTAATACTAAGCATAAATACAAACATGATCCTAAAATCTATGCCCTATAGAATACCTGGTTATTATAACTAACATACATACTTAAAATCATCCGAGACATTATTTAATGAAGTATAAAATAGGCCATTTCATTGTCACCTGTGGTAATGACTGTTAACAGTTGAAAATCTGATGCTTTGTGAAACAAACCATTCTGCAGCATAACATCTCAGATCCTGAGTAATTTTGAGTTACAAACAAAACACTGGGCTATGATCCGCTATAAAGCCACCTCTTAATAATAACCATCGGCTTCATATGTTGTAACTGCTTAAGCACAGAATCTGCGCTTTCTGAAAATGTTTTATCCATAACAATTTTTACATTACTCACAGATTTAAGATTTAGTGGATTTCTGAAGTCTACAACCCTGCTGCGGTTTCTCAGTTCATTAGTCTTTTTGCTCCTGGACACAGCTTTCTGTTTGTGAATTTGTTTTCGCTTGGGGGGCACCTCCAAATTGGCTTTCTCGTTTAGTTTCCGCTTAGAAGCGTTCGTTGTCTCAGAAGTCTCCAAAAATGTGAGGAATGAGTCCTCTAGCCCTAAAGGCTTGAAGGAACCCTGAGGAGCGCCGTCGTCCCGTTGCTCCTGGGGGGTCGGCGTCCCTGGATTTGAGTTTTCTGTTGAGCTGGTAACAGTCAGGCGGTTTCTAAGGGTTTGCATCCTTTGTGGACAAGCTGGTGTGGGATGTGGAGGTTTTCTGGGACGCCCTCTTTTAGCGCCTCCTTCTGTCAAATTGGAAGCTTGGGATTCTGAAGTATTGTCAGCGAACACCTTGGTTTCGTCTTGGGTTAATTTCTCCTCAGGATTTTGCTCCTCAGGATTCTGCTCACCAAACATGTGCTCGCACAGCTTTTCCCCTTCGTCCGGCTCCGTCTCAGAGGAACTTGATGCACCTTCTGACTTGCCTGTATCTTTAAATCTGGAGCGTGAATACTTTTTGCAGAAAATGAACTGACTCCTCTGATCTTCGATGTACCTCTCCATGAGGCCATGAGTTGCATAATGCTTAAATATACTTCTCTCAGCCCTCTCCACCGTGTCGCATCCTATGATCATGCATGGGTACTGCAGGGCGGACTTCTTGGTGCACATCGCAGACGCCTCTTCGTGGGATTTTAGTGTAGGCTTACCAAAACTGGTCCAGTGTTCAATGGCCTTCCCATCTTTCTTCTTAGTGTTCTTCTTCTTCACTTTAATTTTGTTTTCCACGTTTTCTTTCCCATTGTTAATCCCCGGAAAGAGTCCAATCGACTTAGTGCGTCTCCCATCGGTTGCTTTGGGATCATAGACATAGTCGTGCTTTTTGATCAGGTGACGGAGCAGATTGGATTTTGTAGTGTACACGCGGTCGCATCCGTCATACTCGCACCGGAACGTCGGATCTACCGAGCCTCTCTCAGAAATGGCGATTTCCTTGTGGAAGTTCTTGATGTGCTCGATGTACTTCTCCACAGAATCAAAGGGGAGGGCACACTCAGGCCGATCGCAGTTGAATGTCCCCAAGTTCATGCTGGCCATCATAGCAGTGGCTTTGTCGCAGGTGAACTTGTGAAGCAGGAGGTAGTGTTGCACCAACCTTGTGATTCCCATGAACACCCTGGAGCAGTTCCTCACCTGACACCTGACTTCGTCGTCTTTTCCAATGGGGATGATCTCCGGTTCAACTTCCAGGACCATTTTCTCAGCCTCTGGCTCGGCTTTGAGAGGAGGAAGCGATGCCTGATGCATGGCCCTGTAGTGGAGAATTAGATTCTGCTGGATGGTGAACGCTGCCGTGCATCCTTCATGGACACACCTGTATGGTCTATACGGACTGAAGGCGTTGTCGGTCTCACACAACTTGAGGCTCAATCTTTTTGGAAGCTTCTCCTTTCTTTCATCCTTCGTTGGTGTGCTTTTGGAGCTGCTCGGTTTCTCTGGGGATGGGCAGGCAGAAGCAGAGGAGGACTTTGGTTCTCTTATTATATTCTGATACACGTCAGGTTTATCTTGTTGCCCATTTGCTTTGGTTACAGGACTAAGTTTCTCTTTCACACTGGGATTTACTTTATTTTTGGGACTCCTGTGTATGATAGCCCCTTTATGATGCTCTGGAGTTAAATTAGGCGCTGGTGGTGCCCCCTCCATAAGTGGCCTTTGAGTCAGATAAGTTTGAGGTGATGGGAGTCGTGTAACAGTCAATATCTCAGGGTTTGAGAGCTGTTTTGCTGTATCTCCTGGAGTGATTTGAGTAACTTCTGGAGGATTTGCATTATGTGGTTGAGGTGCTATGGCAATGTCGATTGGTTCTTGTTTTAAAATAGGCATAACAGGCGCAGACGCTGCAGACGGATTGGTGTTGCGTTCACTGTTTGGTTGACTGTTCAATGGGCCATCTTTGTTAAGTCTGAAGGCACGCCGATTACGAGCACTGATTTTTAACTTTTGCATTTCTGCCTTTGACAGCCGGTGAACCTTTTCATAGTGGATTCTCAAGCCTGTTGTTCTTGTGAATGTTTTTGGGCAGATCTGGCAAGGATATGGAGACAGTTTGGATGGGATTCTTTTGAGTTCTTCAATCATCTCAGTAGAAAAATCATGCATTTTACTCAAGTGTTTGAATAAGGCTTCCTTTGTCATGAAAGAGAACTCACAGTCATCCTGGTCACATTTAAAAGGTTTAGTTACCTTTTCAATGGGTTTCTCATCACTTTTATTTTGTACTTTACTTTTACTTTTCTCTACTTCTGTTGTTTTTTCCTTCTGTTCTAAGGCTAAAGTGTTACGCATTTTCTCCTGCGCCGCCTCAATCAGGTCCATTCTTTGAAAGGCGCTGGACATTTCCATCAGGTTATCCTCCCGATAAGGTCCAGGAGGTGTGGGATTAGCTGTCTCTGCCGGTTTGTCCTGCTGGTTTGCTGAGCAAACTGGGAAAGAGTTTGAATCATCCATTATGTTTGTACTCTGAGGTTCCTGCTTTAACATTGCAGGCGAAATCAGAGTGGTGAGGTTGCAAGATCCGTCTGAGAAATCTCCGTTTGGCACGTTGTACACCGAGCCATTTGTATCGGGTACATGAGGGTCGTTGAGGAAATCCAAGAATGACGTAGGAAGGTCCGCTGTAAGGTCAATTTCATCCAGAGGTCTGCACTGTGAGCGCTTTGAGAGATGACCACCGAGAGATTTGGTGCTTGTGAACTCTCTGAAGCACCTTCTGCATATAACTTTCCCATCCTTGATGATTGCAGGCCACTTGGTACGTTTGCTCAGCCGGCTGCGTTTCGCTTTTAGGGCGTCGGTGTCACCGCCCTTCTCCTCTGAAGGGTTAGGCTGGCAGTCAGCATCAGGGCACTCCTCATCATAAGGGAAAATGTTGTGAGTGGTGCTGTGAGGACTGACCACGCCATCAGCGGAGTTGTCTATCTGTTCGTAACCAGAGTTTGACGCCGTCTCTGTTTTGGTGACTTTGCCACAGTCCTTTAAAGCAACCTGTGCTTCAGGGGTCGCACATTTCATGGGAACATCAACGGAAGAGCACTGTGTGAGGCAGGAGTTTTCGCTCTGTGCGTACGGAGTGTGGTAGCTTCCATCAGGAAGGCTGTCAATGGTCGAGAGGCTGTTCCCGTTATCCAAATGTCCACTTTTCCTTGCATCCGGATGGTCTCCGGTACTGTCAGCGTGCATCAGCCCATATTGGTTCCCTCCATTATGCATGTGTCCACCGTTGTCAAGCATGAGGGAACTGGAGACGTACTGAGACATCAAAGTTGATTCTGAAGGAGCGGGCGACATAGAGGAGGAGTGTATAGCTGCCATTGAAGGCTCTCGGTCCGAAGAGTGAGGCAAGGGGTTGTGGTACGGGTCCGCTTGCCAGGGAGGGTAGCTCCGGGACGAGTACTCGTTCATATTGAAGCTCTCAGGGTAGGGATTATTCATAGGAGGAGACCATGACTGCGACATGTCTGACTGCATCACTGTGTTGGGATTGTTGTGCCCCCCCCAGTTGGGGTACAATGAGGGGTTGACCATTGGAGTAATGGGCACAGGCTCAACTGATCCAGGGTAACACTGAGAGGGCGAGGCAGAGCATCCCATGGGATAATCCATCTGCTGCACCACTGGTTTGTTGCATAGTATAGCTGGCGGGTTGGATCGCTTGCTTCCCTTCTTGGCTGTAATTTTAGCAACTTTGTTATATTTCTTTGCTAATTTCCAGTCTTCAAATATTTCAGGATGCTGCTTCTTAACGTGCCTGGACAGACTCTTGTTTGTGCTATATGCCCGGGAACAGTCATTGCTCGGGCAGCAGTGCAGGTTCTCCTCGTTTCCCGCAGGAACGGCGGGGGTGCTGGAGGGATACCCCTGCATGGAGGCAGGAATCTCAGCCTTGATTTGCTTTGGAGACATGATTTGTGGGACCATTTTTGGGAATTCGTTGCACTGCACCTCCTTATGCTGGTGTTCCTGTGGAGCTGCTACAGGAACAGGATATGCCGGAGGAATATCTCCTTGCCTGGTCACATTATGCTGCACTGGTGGTAAGTTTGCATTGGCAGGTGCTGGAGCTGGATTAGTTAGTGGAGTGTAGCATTTCTCCGGTTCTTTTATCCCATGACCAGCCATTGAATTCAGCATGTTCTCAATTGAGTGTTTCACTTTAGCAGCCTCCGGTGACGTGCATGGCGATGCATTTGCCTTTGAGACGTCGTTCATGAACGCCTCTCTGTTGTTTCTTTCAAAACCAAACTCGGCAGGGTGTGTGTCTTCCTTCATCAGGGTGCTCTCAGGTGCAGGATCAGGCATTGCAGATACAGGGTTTTGATTAATTACAACAAAACTGTTTACAGCATCATTTGGTCTATGATGCTCCTGGTGAGACAGAAATTCAGACTGCGAGTAGAAGATCTTGCCACAGTTATCGGTTTGGCAGGTGTAGGTGAGGTAATGCTGAGCCTCGTGATCATACAACAAGTAGGCCTCACTGAAAACTTGGCCGCAGTTCGGGAACATGCACTGGGCTTTAAATTCAGGGTGTATTTTTCTATGCATGAGGAGCTCAGAGTTGGAGTTGAAGTTGGCCTTGCAGTCCAGCTGAATGCATATGTACGGTCTGGTGCCACAGTGCATCTGCAGGTGATCATTGAGGTGTCTGACGTTGACGAACTGCCTCCTGCAGTACTGGCACACCACCTTCTGCTTCTGGATCTCCAAGAACCTCATGGCCTCCTCGTCGTCCTTGTGGGATCTGACGTGAGCCATCAGGTTGCGGAAAAACTTGAAAGCCTTTGTGCAGTTTGTAACAGGACAGTAACAGTCTTGACTGATCTGAGGATCAGACGTTGGTTGCTCTATCTTAAGAGGAGTTGCAGATATGTTGCCAACTTGAGGGGTGATTTTAACGGGACTCATGCTCGCCTTGGCTGCAACTTTCACCATTTTTGTCGGACTTTTAGGTGACTGAGGTGGTTTGGTTACCTTCCGCGCAGCTTTCATCGCTGCCAGTCTCTCTTTGCACGATTGCTTTACATGTGATGCTACATGGGGCTCTAGCACCTCCCTGCTTTCAAAGCTGTCAGCACAGATCGGGCAGAGGTACACTCCATCTTTGAAATGTTTCTGGGCATGACGGACGATCCTGTGGCCCAAGAACTCCTTATCACACAGAACACAATACTGCATGTAGGCCCGCCAATTTCGGAAGCGGGCGGACACAAACCCTTGCTCCCGAAGTTTCTTAGCCTCTCTGTTCTTTTCTTTTTCATCTGTAATCTCATTGAGTTCGTTTGTAGTTGTGAGTAAGAAGTCTTCCAAATCCTTGTATTCGGGAAGTTTGCCAAGTGCGCTTTCCATCTCCTGTTCATCCGTGTCATTGAGTGTGTCGATGGAAGAGACAATGGCCGCCTCCTCGCCCATCAGGGCCAGGCAGTTACGCTTAAGTGTCTTCCAATCCCAGAACTCCGGATCAAAAGGCCATTGTGTCTTCAAGGCCAGCAGCAACTCGCAACGCAAAGAGTTCGGCACCGGCAGACTCCCGTCCTCCTCCGGCTTCTGGTCGGGTTCGTTGTACAAAGACTCCACGGCGTAATATGAGTCAACAGTCGGCTGCAGGAGGAACTCGGTGAGCTGGCATGCTCGTTTGACCTCTAGATCGGTTGGTAGGAGGCAGGAAATGGTCTTACAGATGGTAGACTTGCTTTCTTTGTGATCACTGGAGGTCATTTTTAGAGCTTGAATACACATTTCTACGCACACTGGAAGCCCCACCTCTCCAACCTGGGAAAAAAAAACAGAACATATGATATTTGCAAGACCTGAGGCAACATTTTAACATTTACACACACACTCCTTATTCTAGGTCTGGGTCTGTAAAGACTCTGTAAAGACCCTTCTCCAAGGCATGGCTTTAACCATTTATAGATCCTAAGCGGTTTGTCCCTGTTTTTGGGAACCGCCTCAGTGATGCTACAAGACGAACATGAAAAGAATGTCAGCATGCTAGAGGCGGCCATCTTGTTCGACAGCTTCTACTTATTTGGACTTTGAATTTAGATCAATTATATGACAGATTATTAGGACAAGGCTAAAATAATTTTTGTTTATTATTAGACTAAGATCATTCAACAATATAGTCAAAATAATACAACAATAAAGTTATAACAGCAACAGAATAAAGTTGTAAAATTGCAGAAATAGTCATAATATTACCAAAATAAACTCATCATATTCTGAAAATAAAGTCATAACGTTACCAGATTAAAGTCCTAAAATATTACAGGTCATAATAATATCAGAGTAAATGTATAATAATACAGGATTAAAGAATTATAATATTACCAGACCAACATGGTAAAATAACTAATCATAATATAACCAGAACAAAATAAAGTCGTATGACAATGAAGTAATAATATTAAGTTCTGCACATGCAGTATATATATATTTTTTTACCTCATTTTGGATAACTTTGATGAGAAACAGAATGTGGCAGACGTTTCCGCACTGCAGTGCCATCTCCTTGCTGCGACTGAGGAACGAGTCGGCAGACGCCTCCAACCGCATAAGCAGTTTACTCCAGAACAACGTAAGTTCCCTGCAAGAGAAAGAGAATCAGGCTAGGTGAGATTCTGAATATAAACAAAGCAATGCATTAGGACAAATTAAACTAAAGACTTTGTTTACATTTAACACAAGGCATCTACAATGGAGTAGGATTACAGGCTTTGCCGGTTATGTGGAGCCGTAGGCCACAGACTTGAGCTCTGCTTTTATTATTACTAATCATCAAAATGGTGACATGAGCCAAATTGCTTCAGGGCAATTAACTCGTCTTCTTGTTACTGATATTTGTTTCTGATGGCAGCTAGAAACTTAATTTAAATGTTAAGCAGACTTAAGATAAAAGACAATATCTGAAGTCTGTGCGCTATCTGAAAGAAATCAAATCTGGTCTGACCTCAAAATATATTGAAAATGTTCATCACTTTCATTCCCTCAGTTATAATAATAAGATAGTCCAAATTCACAGATTTTAATGAAAAAAATGTGATAATTGCCCCAGAGTTTCTTGTAGGAACAGATGAGGTGCAGTTTGGGACTCACCAGGCACAGTAAACGTCTTCTTGAAGAAGCTGTCGCTTCAGAAAAGCCGTACACAAACACAGAGCCGCTTTCTCGTCGCCCTCCGACTCCAGGTTGCAGATCATTTCAAGAGCATCTTTGCAGTCTATCGACGAAATCTATAGAAGATTAAAAAAAACACAGGATACAGAGCTGTTCTGAGTCCTGTTCCTCTAAAGATAAAAAAAAAGATAAAAGAAGTAGCAATGATCGGCTCAGGTCAGATAAAGTCAAATCTAAACGTGTTTTTCTATTCAGTCAATGCAACAAAACTTTAAAGTTCAACTACTTTTGATTAATTCATGCAAAAAATATTAAGTAAGTTTAATAATTGTAATTTATTTAAACTCACCTCAAAATATTTTAGTTGTCATTAAATTAACTGACATTTCTGGTCTAACTTTGACAGAAAATTTGGAAAGCAGTGAACTTTTTTCAGTGAAAAACATGGTGGAGTTTGATGTATGAAAATGTAAATACATGTTTTTTAAAAAGCCAATAAGAGCTGCACTGCTCTGAAAGTGACTCATTCTCATTGTGACAATAAAAAGTGATTTAATTAGTTTTTGTTTTAACAGGATTTTTTCTTACCTCTTCCATCAGCTGCTCCTGACTTTTCGTCATGCAGATGCAAACCAAGTAGGTCTGCTTGAAGTTGCCTTTTCCTTCATACCCTGGGTACTCTGAGCAGATCTTTGCCAGCACAGCCGCTTTGTCAGTGCTGTCCGCTTTGATAAGGTGCTTGATTCGCATGTTGAGAAGCGCTGGACCTTCCGATTCAAGATATTCGTGCACTAAGACACAAAAAAACCTCTCTTAGCTAACAGTTATTCCAAGTTATTCCATGGGATTACAGCAGCAAATTCGCCATGACGGAGCGCTAACCTTGTTCAGTTCGAGGAATTTGATTGGACAGGATGCTGCTTAGCGTGACGTTGGCCCAGACGCCGTCCTGCTGAGCCAGAACTGAGAGCAGACGGAGCTGGGTGCTCCCACTTTCCTGCAAAAGGCTGTGTGCCAACTGCAGCAAAACACCAAAAAAGAGCAAAAAATTCACAACTAAACCTTTAGAGAGGAGGTCAAATGAGCCATTTTTCATATCAAGGAAACATTAGCTTAGTTGCTAACTTATGTACCCACATATAGTTTAGGACATTGCGCTTCCCTTCATTCAATATGAGTGTAAACATGTCCAAAAAAATTATTTTATGTTCCCAAGTAAACAAGTCACTTGGGGAAAGTACCCGAAAATTATACTCAAGTAAGAGTAGTACTACTTCGACATGTTTTTACTCAAGTAAAAGTAAAAGGTATTTGGTAAAAAGTCTACTCAAGTACTGAGTAACTGATCAAATGATCAATCATTTAATGTTTAAAAATTACATCACCAAACAGCTCGAAATATAGTTACGTAGACATTTTGGTGTTAAAGACGAAAAGGACAATAATTTATACAAGTAGAGAAATAAAATAAGGTAAAAGCTGTGTAGTCTAAAATTGACTAGAAAAAATATTGAAACTTTTATATTAATCTCCAAAATTTTCTGGAGAAACAACTACATTTCTCCAAAATATTAAAAATTTGCTACCAATAATTCAGGAAGTTTGAGATTAATCTGAGAAATTTTCTAGAAAAAGCTAAAAATTTACAGAAAAAACAGAGAATTTGTTTCCAAATAAGTTTTTTTCAATTCAAAACTTTTTGCATTCAGTGGGTAAAGCAGTTCATAATGAAATTACTCAAGTAAAAGTACAACTTCAAAGAGTGAAAAAACGTTTTGAACAGACGAAAGTGTAACAACTTTACCAATTCCAAGAAATTCAGCCTTCCTCATAACTGGTCACATGATCAGCGGTTTTTACCTTTGCCTAGCAACAAGGAGTGGCTCAGCAGAAAACTCCAGAATCTGACATGTGGGTTATTATTTTACTGATGTGAACCAGCTGCATTTTATAAGCTGCATTTTCCTAATGAAGCGACTCGTTCTGATTGCGCCAGCGGAGCGGCGACGGCCTGCGGGATGCTGACCTTCACGGAGGACTGGAACTCCTCCCATAAGGCACCAGGGACATGCTGGGGCACCGAGAGCAGCAGCTCCGCGCAGCTCCTGTAGGTCAAACACAAGTCGCTTGGTAAAGCCACATTTAGGTCAAGGATGTGCACACATTCAACAAAAACACATCTGAAGGTAACTGTGAAACCTGTGTGCTGATCTGGAGGGGAAAAAGGCGATGAAGGGAAGAAATATCGTCTTATTTTGTTCATTTCAAAAACAAAAAAATGTCAGAAAGAGTCTAAATCTGTGTGATTTCTAACTAGAGGTGCATATTTATACATGAGTAAAATTTTTCAGTGAAAAAAATAAGTAGAACCTTGAGTCAAAAGTTTGCTAGAGAAAAAAAACAAACAAGAAATTTGGAAATTAAACTGTGAAATTTTCTAGAAAAAAAAACAGCAAAATTTCTCAGTTCCAAAGGCTGAAATGTGCAAGAAAAATAATCTGAAAATTTGAGATTAATCATCAAAATCTTCTAGAGAAAAGAAGAACATTTCTGAGCTCCACAAATAAAAAAAATTAACAAAATAATGAGAAATTTTTTGGATTTGAGCTCCGAAAGTCTCAAATCTGCTAGAACAAAATATGAAATGTTCATATGAATCTAAGAAATTTTCTAGAAAAAAAAAATGTCTTAGTTGTAAGAGAAGGAACATAAAGTGTTGAATAAAAGAGTGCTTTGTCACAGTTACATCAGTGAAATCCAACAGGAGAGCATCAAGTTTGATGTTTCTTTACTCACAATGCTAACTTTTCAAGTAGAAGTGGCACGTTTTCACAATCTGAGGAGAGACAGGAAGCAGCCTTAGCGAAGCTGAGGATGGCCACGGTGTAAACCTCCAGCAAAGGCAGCGGGTCTTCATCGGTCTTCCAGCGCCCGGCATGTTCCACCAGAACCTGGGAATCCAAAGACAAACCACACACAGGCATCAGAACAGGCAAACAGCAAGAAATCTGCACAAAATGTAAAGAAATACCAGAAAAATGACAAGAAATATGGATTTACTACTCAATCTTTAATATTTCAGCTTGAAAAATAATGTGATGCATCAAACCTAAACTAGATAACTTATTTTCAGTCTATAATTAACAAAAAAAAAACACTTTTGTACACTTTTTATATGCCAAGACACATAAATAGGAATGTTTTCTTACTTGGTGATTAACGGGTCAAATACTGAAAAGAAATCTTAAAAATTTAACTTTCCTCTGAATTTAGTGCATCAAAACTCAAAGCCTCTTTATTTACAGTCTGAAAATGTGTCAATTAAGTTATAGTTGCAGAATATTTACATAAATTATAAACATAAAAAGATGAATTATAGCAGTTTAACATACAATTCTGTTCATAGGAATCAAACAAACTATTTATATTTCTTTCTTATAATTAATGCTTATTATTAAGCAGTAATTACTGAGGAACAAATAAAGGTTCCCTTTGTTTTTATTCTTTGTACTTTTTCAGTTTAATAAAGTCAGATAAAGTTTAAGGTTGTTGCTATGACATATAATGGAGGCAAAATTACAGATTTTTAAATGTGCTTTTCTTTCTGTTTTAAACAACCGTCATTATTTGCATGCATTTTACATGTGAGCTCCTTTTCTGATTTAAAATAACATTCCTGCTACTTGCACAATTTTTATATACTTCTAAATAATCTGGAGAATGGCAATTTCTAAACCTGAGAATCCTGAATCGGTTCAAAATGTGCACAAATCAATTTCAGTCTACTTAAATCATATTTTTAATAATTCTTCGATATTTTTTCATTTAACAGAAAACCTACATATTTTAATTTGAATATGAACTGGTGGAATTTGATGCAGTATGACTTATATAAATGTTTTATTTATTTACACCGTATTTTCCTCTCGTCTGTCACATAATTCAAACCGAAAATTGAGATAGTCCCAATAGAAAAAATGTTTCTGCAGGTTAAATATTTGCATCTCTACCACTTCTAATAACTGCAGAGCATTTTTTTTGCTGTAAATTTGTCCTCTCTATACAGGATGTTATTCTTATTTTCAGTTTTTATGAGTGATGGACTGATCCAATATTAATGTTGGTATCGTTGAAAAAATGCTAGATCCCAATCCATGAGGGCAGATCAGAATAATTCTGATTATTTATTTTACATCAAATTTAAAATTCCTTCAAATGCTTATTTGTAAAACATTTGAAAGGTTTGTTGAAGTTTATTTCTGTCAGTTTTAGCTTCTTTATTACTTTTTTTATTTTACATGAGTTGTTCTACTCTTAATTGCACTGACTGAACAAATTAAAGTTTAGTTGTTTTCACATGTTTGACAAAGTTTATGAAGCTATTGGTGTATTTAAGTGAGCTGTACTGGTGCAGAGTTAACAAATAAATTTGCATTTAAACTACATTTATGTCTGTGTTTTATAAAAATAATTGTTTTAAGTCAATTCAGGACTGGTTTTGTGTTGGTCGACAGTAAAACTCAGATATCAGAAGTGAAAAAAGTGGATTGTTACATTCCTGGTGTTCATATTTTTATTTTTTTTTTGTAAATCTAAATGCTAACTGTCACTGAGGTTCAATTATTTATCCCTCAGTGATTATTTCTATCCTATAGTTTTAGGATATAAATATCCTAAAACTACACTATTTTTCTTCTGAAACTGCAGAAGAATCTGTATCAGCTGGAAAACATGATAAAATTTTAATTTTTGCTTTGGGAGTGAAACTAACATGTAGCACAGTAGCATTATGACGCCATCATAACCTCTAATACTCCATTAAAACCAAAAAGAAAGCAGATTTTTATGATTAGGAAACAACTAAAAAGTAAAATGAATGAGTAAAATGTGAGGATGGCTGTGACTTGTGCAGCTTGCAGGTTTTATTTAGGTAGCTGGAGGCTAATTAATGATGTAATGGAGTCAGTGACCATTGACACACTTTTCCCTCTAAATCAGCGGCTCTGATGCAGATGAAGCTTCATTTCAGATTTAAAGCGTGTTGATGGAGAAGCTCTAACACCGTCATTAACATATGCGCTAATGTAATGAGCCGGATTAATTAGAGGAAAAAGGCCCGGGCTAGCATCCTATTGAAGAAGAAAAAAAATCACAGCGATCAATGAAGCACCCTCAGAAAGTAACCCCATTTTAAAACACTCTAAAAACCCACAAAGGGAGATTTGTAGTCGTTTTAAAGCGTTTATTTTAGTGCACATCAATGCATTCGCAGCCGCTAACGCAGCTATCCCGTTTTTTTTGTGTGTTTTTTTTGCACAGCATGACCACTGCACAGGACAGGGGTCTCTGCCTGCATACCAGCTAGCAACATTCATCTGCTGAGGGCGATCTGGCCTGGAAAATACGAGCTATATTTGCACAGTTGGCACACTCTGCAGCGACCTCCAGCCCATTACACAGCCATGTTTGCAATTAACTTCACTTCAGACACGTACATCAGTTTGAAAAATGGAAATTAGTTGTTTTTTTTCTCCCCCCTCTTCCTCCCCTCTTGCTACATCTAGAAATGCAGCCGACTAGCTTGGATGCTAGCAGCTTTAGCTACATTGTTGTAGCAAACGTAGACGCGCATCCTCGGCCAGGAAGCCAGAGGGGCTGCAGGCTGGCCGGGATGAGCAGCGGGATAGCGGGCTAACCTGGCAGAAATCCTGGCAGAAGTGAAGGGAGGCTTCCGGCGGAGGCTGCGGACTCTCCTTTAAAGCCGTGGTCAGAGCCTGGAAGCGATCGCGGAGCTCCTCGGTGGCTTTCCGTGTATCATATTCCTTTTCTGTCTCCCCCTCCGCCATCTTCACAACAATCACGACCGCGTACGCACAGATGTTACGCTGCCAGACCCTGCACACGCACGCGCACGCAGGAAGGGGGAAGGGAGAGCTCACAGAGGGAGGGAGAGAGAGAGAGGGCTCCTCCTAAAGAAGACCCCTCATGTCAGGAACCCAATGGCGGATCAAAGGAGAAGCAGGCCCCGAAACAGGGCCGGTCCAAGCTCTTTTTGGGGCTCGAAGCAGATTGTCATTCGGGGTCCTTCAGTGTCAACCAGAGGTGGGAAGATTGTCCAAGTAAAAGTAAGTAAGACTAAAAAAGTATTTGGTGAACAAAAGTACTGAGTAACTGATCAAAAGATACAATATTTAATATTTTAAAATTACATAATCAGGTGCACAAAATTCTAATGTTTAGTAGAAATTTTGCTATTTTAACAAAAATAACAATCAGGCATATGTACACTTTTCAAAATCAGTTTCTTTCAAAATAAAACTTGTGAAACAAACAAAAACTGCAGGTTTGTGGTGATTTTCAAGTTACTTGTACCAGTGACCCCTTCCTCCCCTCCGCCCAAGAAATATTTAATATTTCTGTTTCATGTATTATTTGAGTCTGAACGATCTTTTATTTTGAAAATCCTTTAGCTGGATTCCCTGGGTTACATCTTGTGCCAACAATGAGCCACAAGCAGCAAAATGAGTCAGAAACAGATCAGATGTTTTTGGAAAGTGTCTTTGAAGGGAAAAGGCCCAGACAAGAGACAGGAGAATGGATTTATCCCGGTAGGTGATTCCCACATTCCAAGCTGCTCTGCATGATATGGTGACCGGCTCGTTAATAAGGCAATGAAGCTTCAAACTGCTTCGCCACTAGAGACCAAGTAGCACCCTGAGCATAAGCAACACTTCGGGTGTCACAGTCTCCCAGGTGGTACCGTCCGATCAAACACGGATGACGCTGTAGGAGCAGTAGCGATAGTTCATTTTAAGCGATAAAAGACGCAGCCGCTCTATTTGCACTATGATGTGGAGGCGAGTTATGTTTTTTTTTTTTTTTGTAGTTAACATTTTTAACTGAATAAACATAACCACATATAATAAACATATATATAAAATGACCTTTACATATAGTAATAAACATTTCCACATGTCACCTCCACCCGACTCTCAGTTGTTTGGGATTCCCCTCGGTTCTCACCGCGCTTTCTGATTGGCTCCCTGTCACATTCAACAGGATGCGCTCAGTCAGGGAAAACCACACGGGCTAAGATAATGTTGAATATTTAACACACCACCACGTAACTCATCACACACTGCAGGACGTTGTAAGATTGCCCTAAAGAAAAAATTGGGGCAAAAAAAAAAAAAAGGCTTCAGCGGGAAAACATGCAGAAACATTATCCTTTCCCCCCCCAAAAAAAATCTAGCAGAGTTACATTTAACCATTACATTACATTTATTTGACTATCTTTCTTTGCAGGGGGGGCGTTATTTATGTATAGATGAATGAATAAATACTCAACAGAAGGAAAAATTGTTCAGTTTTTGTTGTGCAACCAACTGACTGGTGTTTTCTTCTAATTTTTGCTGTCACTATTTTGTGGACTAGCGTAATTTGCCAACAGTGGACATTGAATCTTTACGTAAAGGAAAATTTTTACATCAGTCCGAAAGGCTAAAACACAAAAACAAAGGATATTATATATACCTTCAGTATGCTTTAATGAGTTTTATAAACTCAAAATGTAGTTCAAGTTTGCTGTAGTTTTTCCCAATTAATTATTTTGTTTATTTCATTTAACAAAAATGTTTTCTCAGTTTTGATTTTAGTATTTTATTAGTTTTAGTTAACTAGGATAACCTTGGCTTTCCCACTTTCACAAAATGTAAACAAAAATGGAGTGGTGTCATATTTTAGCGGTTGGAGGAACTCACTTTTATCTCTGACAAAAACAAACAAGTCATTTCTATGCAGCTACAGCCTCCAGCCCAGCAGGGGGCACTATGCAATTGCATAAATTGCTTTACCTCCTGTTCACACGTTTTCTTGTCTTTTCTTTTTTCTTTTTTTTTGATTAATAGATGTTTTACAAATATTGTACTTTATAGAAAACTCATAGGCCCAAATTATATGAGTTGCATTAATATTTATTTTTATTTTTATTAAAAACAATACTCAAGTGTTTGTAAATTATGAAGGTGTAGTCAATTTCTTTTTGAAAAATGTGGAGTTAGGGGATATAATAAACCTAACATGCATCAATTTATCCCTGCTAATGTGTGGAACTACATATTCTAGTAATTTACATTAGTAAAATAGTATTTTTAGTAGATAGGGCTCTAGCCCCAGGACCCACAACCTTGTAAATCTGGCCCTGTTCAGCAGAGCCAAAATTCCCAATCAAAGCAGAAAATTTATTAACACTTAATAAATAAAACTTTTTCTATTAATAAGATGTGAAAGTTTTGAAAAAAAAAATCTTTATTAAAAATTCAGGTTTTCTGGCAACGTTTTTCACTTTAAAGTTTTATTTGTCGTTGTAAGAAGAATCTATTTTAAAAAATGCTCATAAAATATAATGATTTTTGATCAAATATAAAATAAAAAAATAAACCTCTTTATTTATTTATTTATCAGTTGTTTACAAAAGTAATTTCAGGTCCTATAAAATAATTTATTTTGAACATAAAGTTTGCAATCACATCACTTGCCCTGAAGTTTCACATCACATAGAGCAGTTTATAAAATAAATAAGACACCAGACCTTCATGATGACCTCTTGGTGAACTTTTTTTATTGACTTCAAGTCCTCAGTTGTTGATACACAGTTATCAATGCAAACATGAAGGCTAGTTACACATCACAAACACTGAAACACTAACATAAACAACACCTGCTTCCAAACAGAGAACAGCTTGTGCATTTCAAAAGAGACGGCCTGCAGGTTTCCACGTTTCATATCAACTTATGATAATAGCAGGTGCTGCAGTGACAAGCCGTGTGGTTTTTCACTGTGAGGTCGTTTACCTGTGTCTGCAAGAAGGTAAAATGAGCAGGAATGAATAAGAAAAAGAGATTAATTGAGTATTTTATTTATTTATTAAGTTGAATTTTATAAAAACTCAGCAACAGCACATAAAAATAGAAAAAAAACATATAAAAAGTTATCAATCAAATGCTGACGCTTTGCATTTGATAGTTAAATCTTATCTACATTTGCCATAAAATAATAATAATAATAATAATAATAATAATAATAATAATAATAATAATAATAATAATAATAATAATAATGTATTGTGCAATGCCATACAATATATTATAAATTATTTATAAATATATAATACTTCTATAATAATTGCTTACAAGTGTACTAAGTTATTTGCACTAGGAATTAGACCAAAAGTACTTGATATGTTTTTGTGTTGCTGCAGTGAGCACTTTATGCATCTATTTTAATTAAATGAATGATGTTTTACCTCGTAGCTGTGCTTTGCAACGCAGCAAGATGCCTGTGAGGTGATGTTCTTGTGGACCGCCATCGTCTGCAAGGCCTTCTGCGGTGTTGGATACGCCCAGGAGAAGCAGTAGCCCATGCACTGGTAGATCGGACGGTCCCGTGAAGAAAAAAACCGGTTCAGACCCAGGCTGCATTTCCCACAGCCTACTGCAAAACCAAACGGACACTGTGAAACACTCCAGGATGGTTTAAAATTAAGGTTTGAACATTCAAATAAAGAGCATTGTTTTCAGCTTTAAGTAAAAATTTAAAGTTCAAAGAGTTGATTTGAAAGTTAAGTTGTCTAAACATTGTTTTTGTGTTCTGATACTTTATTAACCTTCAATTATGAGCTATAACTTTATTTCAAATAATTATTTCACACTATGCTAGAAATCTGCCCTCACCTAGTTGAACAAAAACACGTTTCTGCATTAGTTTCACTCACGTTATACAGTTGAAATATGTACTTTTTTCTACAATTTAAATTCATGATTCAATTTGCACTAACAAAATATATTTTAATGCATTTTATTAAACATTACACTAAATTCTTTTGAACAGAGCTTCAGCTATGTCAGAAGATATTTTCCTTAATGATTGGTCAGTTGGATGAAAATTTTAAAAAGACCCAAATAAACTAAACACAAGGTACAAAAGCATGCAGCTAAGCATCCTAGGAAATAATACCTTTATCTTTTTTTGCTTATTTTTAATTACCTTGAAAACCACAATATTCACTCAACTCTTGGAGTTATGACAAAAATAATAAAAAGTTAACAAAGCTTATCATTGTCAGTTTATGTTTTATAAACTCACATATTTAAGTGAAAAATAAAAAAATGTGAAAGATTTATTTGACGTAAAGAGCAAAAGTTAGTATATATAATTAAATGAGGCTCAAATGGTTTAACAGTGTAGAAAGATATTAAAGGAGTGAAAAACACCACAAAGACACAAAACCTACCAACTATTTCTTGTCTAGTTTAGTGGAAATATGTTAGTACACTTGAAATAAGACAAAACAATTTTTTTAGCAAGATATAGAAGTTTGTTTTAAGTTAATAATTACTTAATATTGATGGAAAAAAGTACAAATTATTTCACTTATAACATGGGAAAATGTCTAGTTTTTAGTGAAACAGTATGCCATTTCAACTAGCATTTTTTAAAAGTCAATATTAAGGAATTATTAACTTAAAGAAGCTCCTATGTCTTCCTGAAAAGTTACATGTAAGGTAGTTTAGTCTTAATTCAGTTGTACTAAGATATTTGCACAACAAATTAGATCAAAAATACTTGGTAAGGTTTTGTATTTTTTCGATATTTTAAATTGTGTCCTTTGTTCTTTAATTTGTAGCTTCAACCCAAATAATGTTAGTTGAAAATTTTTATGTTTTTTAGCTAACAGCTTGTTTGCTTGTAGCTTTTCTGCTAGTTAAAAAAAAAAATCAGCTAACAAACAATACTTACTGCTTGAAGAGTCGAAGTTGGAACAAGAATCGGCTACGTTCAGAAGAAAAAACAACAGAAGAAGAGTCACTGCAGCCGACTTTATGCAGCCCATAGTCGTAACAG